GGGGGGGGGGCGGGAAAAACGAGATTTGCTAGTTCCGCCGCGTTTTCGGCGAAACTGTATATTGAACATAACTCGTCACCAACACGTCTGTGAAAGCTAAACGTAGGTTCATTCGAAAGCCCTGTGGTCCGTAGCTTTCGAATGGTATGTATCTTATTAGGAAAATACCCTGGCTCCAAAGGAAAATCAATCAAGATGCCTGTGGGCGGGTCCTTGACAATTACCACTTTATGTCGGACACCCCTGAGTGAGGGACTGCAACGGCAAATTGACGCGGCGAAGGAGTTTACTGATAATTTAAGTGAAGATTGTCTGCCAACGTCAAGAAGAGTGTCGTCATGGTATGCAACGAGAACAAGGAGGAACCAGTAGAACATAGATGGAAGTGGGGGATGGAGGAGATTGCAGTAGTAGTGGACCAGTAAACATACCTCGGAGTAGAGATCGCGAAAGACTGCTCGTGGAATGCACACATACATGTCCAAGTGTATAGACTTAAAAAGACTCGAAATAAGTCCAGTACCCAGCCGGTTTTTCTCCACTTACTGAAAAGATTCCACCACATCCCGTTCGACTGTGGGTATATCTCGAATGGGTAGTCTTTCTGTGCGTGTATTTATTTCTCCTTAATACATACGGAGGAAGCGGCACAATTAGCTTGTGTCAGCTGATTGATGTCGCGTGCCCCCCCTGTTGCAGTGTTCAATTTCCCTGCTGTTCCCGGCCCACGAAGGCCTAAGAAACACAGTATGACCGACTGATTAGTGATGGAGACGGCAATCTCATCCCTAACAGTATTGAGTTGACCCAGGAACAAGTAGGACATAGTGCGCACTTTTTAGATATGGAAATAGTCCAAGACTTGGCAGGCTCTCAAGTGCAAATGTATGATAAACGAGACACGATGAGTTCTCTGAAGTCGTATCGCCGATTCCCCCACATTGAGACTAAANCAATCTCATCCCTAACAGTATTGAGTTGACCCAGGAACAAGTAGGACATAGTGCGCACTTTTTAGATATGGAAATAGTCCAAGACTTGGCAGGCTCTCAAGTGCAAATGTATGATAAACGAGACACGATGAGTTCTCTGAAGCCGTATCGCCGATTCTCCCACATTGAGACTAAAACTAGTTATCGTTCGAAGTATGCTGTATTACATAGTTGTGTAGATTTGCAGTTCGTTGTACACGTATTGAATATTTTGAGCGAGCGGCAGCTAAGTTGATGAGAGATATGTTAACACATCATTACAAGGCGAATCTTTCAGGCACTACTAGCTAAGCTACATCATTTTCGTCAGGTCTTCTTTAGGAAATCACGCATACATGTCAGGGATTCTTGGCGTACAGAAGCCAGAATACAATTTTGGTATCAAGTAGAACGTAAGATTTGGTATCTTGTTTACCATGGGGTCGATTTATGACTTTTATTTTCTTGACTTGTGGGGGCAAGGGTAGATTAAGAACAAAATGACAGGAGCTCACGGTTTTATTGTGTACTCCTTGCAAGAAAGGACATGCAGTGTGGATGAGTTCTTACAGGAAATCCCGAGAAAATGAAAACTTGAAACATCAAAACTAGGACACTTAACAGTAGAGTAATGGATGATGGATTAGAACGGCAACGAGTTGCCTAATTATCCATTAGCAAGGGGGAACACGGTGACCCGTGTCCCTTGCAAAATATCATTGCTGTATTGCTGCATGCAACCGAGTTCTTCTAATCTCGGACCACAAATGACGTCACATGACCAAGTGAAATTTCTTCTAAAACGTAGACCAAATGACGTCACATGACCAGGTGAAAATACAACACCTCGATGGCCTCCAAATCTGCAGTTGAGCCCATGGTCGGGAAGCCCCTTTCGCACATTC